TGACGTAAAATTAAAATGGGAAACAACCATAGTAAAAATAAGAAGCGCCTGGGTTGGCGTTAAGAAACAGGCATAAATATGATAAACCTAATGAAATAAGTATCTAACGACCTATCTACTTGCAGTATTAGTGATTACAAACATGCCGGTACATAGAATACGACGCGCGGGGAAGTAGGGGCGAAATTAGAATTTGAGCTGAGGTTCCATAGCCCCTTAACTATATTACAACTCATAGTTTACTTGCAAAATAAGTAGATATAATATATTTATAATATATGACCACCAGAGGGGTGCTGATAAGGTGCTAGCATAGGGCTCGACATTCTATTCGCCTCTGGAAACGGATAGATTCGAACGTGTGAGTGTCTCGCTGTTAACTTGTATCTTGCGGCATCATGGTACTTCCTGCTCATTGAGAACTCAGAACCAAGGAAAAAGACGATTGTTTCGAAATCGATAAGCGGTGATGTCTACGGGCCACAACGCAGTTCGTCAATTCTTATTCTATAAAAAAATATGCGAATTTGAAAATTCCATTTCACATTTTGGTTTAAGATGATATTGGTTTGAAATAGTGATGCAACGAATACGAATACGAATATTCGTATTCGCCGAATAATAAACATTTACCGAATATTCATATTCGGCGAATACTAATCACGAATATTTAAAAACTAATATTTTTGTACATAACTCGCGCAAAAAATACTACGTTTTCATAGGCCTTTAGCCGCAACGACGGCTACACAAAGGCGGGGGAGTTATTATTCATTTTAACACTCAAACAACTGAAAGATATTCATCAATCTAACAATATACCGAAACGTGTTATGTTTCAAGATGTTGAAACTAGATGGGACTCAACATATCAGATGTTGAAGAGATTAGGTACCTACACGAACTACGCATAGAGATTCAAGATGTTTTACCATCTCATCATCATCATCTCATGAAACCACAGCAAAGCGATGGGCTCTTATGAGTCAAATTGTTGATATTCTGGCCAATTTTGAATAAGCTACTAAAGAGCTAAGCAAAGAACCAACGACATTACAAAAATACGAAGTCTTAAATCTTGCCTCTGATCCATTGGACTTTTGTTTGGCGAGATGATGTCCATTTTTCAAGGCTGAAAAAACTCGGCCAAAAATATTTTTCACTGAAACCATGTACAGTCGCCTAGGAAAGGTTTTCTACAACGGCTGGGCAACAACTTCCAGACTAACAAAAGAAATCGCCGAAAACTATAAAATTTACAAATTTTATGTTTTTTTAAATAAAAAATTACCTGTTGTAAATTTTAAGTATTAGAACAATAGAACATCATCAAATAAATTAGTTTTTCAGTAATATGGCGAGATATTCGTATTCGTATTCGCCGAATAGTAGGTTTGATATTCGTATTCGTATTTGTAAAAGTAGTATTCGTTGCAATACTAGTTTGAAAGCAGAATTAATGAATTGATGGTTTTGAAAACACAGCAGCGGCCTATAAAAACTACAATATATCTCAATACATTTTTTAGGTTTGCCGCTAGGTACAGGCTTAAAAACACAATATTTTCCGTAAATACCGTGAATAATTGTAATATAATAGTAAAAGTCTTGACAGTGGTATTTTCATGAAACGGATAATTTTAATATATAGATAAATTATTATAACTAGTTTATATGCACAACATATTATACAATTTTTATTATTAAAATACGAAATCTTGTTATCAGTTTGTTTAGTCTTATGCGTGCAAATTATATAAATAAAACTTTGACACATAATTAACACAAATATCGGATTTTTTACAGAACAGGGTGACAAGCGAGCACACAGTCCACCTGATAGTAAGTGGTTGCTGTGGCCCATAGACATCTACCTCTATCCTCGATTATCAATCAAAATGCAGATGCGTTGTCACCCGTGAGGACTAAGACGGAATGCCTTGATTCCAGTAAAAAGGGTTTCTAGTTCTCTACACTCATCATAAGAAACACATCAGCATTAAGCTACATTTTACGCTGGTATTCTGTGAGAGCGCGGTCGTTCGTGCTACAACTATACTACTAATATAACTGCAGTAATATTTTGATCATTAAAGCGTACTCAATGCCACTCAATAAACGTGTTGGTATAATGATGTAAGAGTTAAAAATATACAATGTCATTGTCATTATTCATGGAACGCTGACCTTACAACTTGCACGTAACATGCACTGGTATATGTTAATATTTGTAGGGTTACCAAAAAAAATCCATATAACGTGTACGGTCTGTCCATAGTGGTCTACTATACGAAAAAGAACCAAAAACAGTTTTTTTAAATATACAAATTTTTAGATCTCCTTATCTTCTCTTCTCGTTAATTATGTTAGTAATGATAACAACATATAACGTTAACCATTCAAAATAAACTTCACATACTTGTGTTAGGAGTGAATCACGAGAGAAGTCAGGTGACGGATTTTAACCAATAACTGTTAAGTTTACAGTCTGTAAAGTTAACTATTAGGGTAGTTTTATTAAAATTGGTAGAAAAGAAAAAAATGATTTAATGAAATTAGCAAAAGCTAAAAGCTAAAAGACTAATTTCAATTTTTTCTTTAAATTTATTGTGGCAATAATAATAATAATAATAATAATAATACCTAGTGCCTGGATAGACTACAGAAAGGCATTCGACTCGGTGCCCCATACATGGCTAAAGAGAGTCCTCGAGCTGTACAAGATAGACTGTACAGTTAGAGACTTCCTTGAGCAGTGTATGGGGCAGTGGAGTACGATCCTTTGTCATCTGGGCGAGCGGATGATGGCTGCGGAGAACCACATAAGGATAAGAAGGGGTATCTTCCAGGGCGATTGTCTGAGTCCAATCTGGTTCTGCCTCTCTCTGAACCCTCTCAGTACCTTACTGGAGGGCTCCGGGAGGGGATTTCAGCTACGGAGAGGAGGGACAAAAGTGACCCACCTTTTCTATATGGATGACCTCAAGTTATTCGCCTCCAGTCGCTCCCATCTTATGGAATTGCTAAACATCACTTGTGAATTTAGCAATTCCATTGGAATGGAGCTTGGGACGGATAAGTGTGCGGTCCTCCATGTTGAAAGGGGAAGGGTTGCTAACTCTGAGGGCGTAGACTTATCTATGCCCGTCAACTTAAGGACCCTTTCCGAGGCTGAAACATACCGATACCTGGGTATGTCACAAAACATCGGTATCGATGAGACTGGTATGAAACAGTCAGTTTGCGACGTGTTTTATGCACGCTTGACCAAAGTGCTTAACAGCCTTTTGTCCGGTGTGAATAAGGCACACGCATATAACGGCTGGGTCATGCCTGTCCTCATGTATACCTTTGGCATACTCAGGTGGACTCAGACTGAACTTAACGCCCTGGATAGAAAAGTCCGCACTACCATGACGTCCCATAGGATGCATCATCCGAGATCGTCGGTAATGAGGTTGTACTTGTCGCGGAAGCATGGTGGTCGTGGCTTCTTGAGCGCGCTCACCATGCATAATCGCGAAGTGTGCAGCCTCCGTGATTACTTCCTGGCGAGATCGGATGATCCATTCTATATGGACGTCATTTCTTGTGATAAAGGACTTACCCCTCTATCCTTAGCCAACGAGCAATGGCAAGACCCGGCAGTGCAGAGCATTTCCGACCGAGAGACCGTATGGAAGGAGAAGGAGCTCCACGGGAGGTTCTACAAGGCTCTACATGAGCCTTTCGTAGACACAGTAGCCTCCCTCCACTGGCTACGCTTTGGTGATCTCTTCGGGGAAACCGAGGGTTTTGTCTGTGCAATACAGGATCAGGTTATTAAGACCAACAACTATCGGAGATACATCCTAAAGGATGGCACCGTCGACATCTGTCGAGCTTGTCGCCATCCCGGTGAGTCACTTAGGCATGTTATCTCTGGTTGTTCGGCGCTTTCTAACTCTGAGTACTTGCACAGGCACAACCTAGTAGCCAGAATTCTACACCAGGAGCTCGCTCTGAAATACGGTCTCGTGGACCGGAAATTGCCGTACTACAAGTACTTGCCGGAAGCCGTGCTCGAAAATGATCGCGCCAGGCTCTATTGGGACCGGGCCATCATCACAGACAGGACTATTCTTGCGAATAAGCCTGATATTGTGCTGATGGACCGGGCACAGTCAAGGATATTTTTGGTCGACATTACCATTCCGTATGACGAGAACCTCGTGAAAGCCGAAACAGACAAGCAAACAAAATATCTGGACCTGGCTCACGAGGTGACCGACATGTGGGGTGGTCTGCCGACCGAAATTATTCCTGTAGTCGTCTCTGCAAACGGGCTAATCCCAGTCAGCCTCTCGGGTCATCTGAGGCGGCTGGGACTACGTGGCGGACCGCTCCAGGTTCAAATGCAGAAGGCGGTGCTCCTCGATACCGCCCGCATCGTCCGCCGGTTTCTTTCCCTTTCCCCCTAACCCTCGGCCGTTTGGTCTCCCCTGCCGAGGGCCTCCATCTGGTTGGGCTTTTATTTATTTATGTACTTTTATATTTATTTTATGTTATTGATATTTATGTATATTTATTTTTTCATTTTCATTTATAATTATATATTTATAGAACCCAACCAGATGAGAAAACTATATAGATACCCCATAACAATAATAATAATAATATTTTTATATTTATTTTATGTTATTGATATTTATGTATATTTATCTTTTCATTCTCATTTATAATTATATATTTATAGAACCCAACCAGATGAGAAAACTATATAGATACCCCATAATAATAATAAAAAGGCGTAGGGAAGTGACGACCCCATCGCCCGCTGATATAACGGTTATGTGACAAAACCGCTACGTCGGCGCAGTCAGTCAGCACCTTGCCAAGAGGTGTTAGTGCCGTGCCTCGGCAAAAATTGAAGGTGCCAAGGCCCGCTTGTGCACATGGCCTAACCATGAAACGGCGCCGGGTCTGGGCGTCTCCCGCTAAATGACGCCCTAAAATGGATGATGGAATCAAATGGAACGCGCAAAGGGCCGCTGCCTGGAGGTCGCCAGGGCGCGTCTGGAGCTGGCGCTGGACGCGACAGCATGCGAACCGCCAGCCAAGCGCGAGGTGCTGCACGACCACCCAGCAGCTCCTCGCATCCATCATCCCCACCAGCTGGCTTGGTGTCGGCAGGGTCTTCGCGGGCTCAGCAATCGGCACCCGCCACTGGTGGAGTACGCCGCATGCGTTGGACAACCCAGATGAACAGCAACGCATTGCGGGCGTATTTTAGGGCGAAAGGGGGAGAAACTGGAGGTTTTGCGTATCGGGCAAGGATGCATCGACTTTTTGCTGAGCTGGAGCCATCTGTAACCGTCACCGAGCAAAACCTGGCAGACCGAGTTCGGTATATCTTGCGCTCAAATACATTTGATGTCACCGAACTCGAACGGCTACGACGTGAGGCTGTTCCTTCATCGGGTGAAAATGCTGCGGCTGAGGATGCGGCGCCACAACTTGCTAAGCAAACGGCAAATGTGGATGCCGCCGTGAATACGCCAGTTGTGGTTGATTCAAACGATGATGGAACAGTCGACCAGGAACTGGAACTAGAGCAAATGAGGAGTACATTGGAAGAGGCGATTGTGGAAACGCGCAGTACGACTCTCGAAAATCGACCGCGACTTCCCCGCTTAGCCCTAAGCAAGCGGAATCGGGCTGTCGTGAGGGCTCTGAACCCAATGCTGGTTACCTATTTGGAAGCCAGCCGGGACCTTTGCGATACGGACTCAATTCTTTTTGGCGCCGCACTGGCAGTCTGCCGTATTATAGGTGCCAAACTTTCCACGGCTGGACGCGCTACTGGACAAAGTAGTGCTATCCCAGCCTGGAGAATAAGAATTGAAGAACGTATCGCAAAGGCTAGGGCCCTCATCGGCAGACTGATATGCTTCAGGTCAGGCAATACCAGGCCAAGGATTGTGCGCACCGTCAGGATGGCGTTTGCTGGGACAAATGTTAGTTTGTCCCAGCCGGATATAATGCAAAAACTGACGGAGCGCATAGACGACCTGAAGCAAAGAATAGCTGCTTGGGGAAAGCGGATTCGGCGATATACCAAGAGGTCGACACGGTTCAACCAGAATCGTCTCCAGAGTGATCAGCAGAGGCTCTATAAATCATTAGAGCGACCAATAGTAAGTGGAACGGGCCCTGCACCAAATCAGGCCGACATGGTTGCATTCTGGCGCAGCCTGTGGTCAGAGCCCGTAAACCACAACGAGGGCCCTTGGACGGAAGTTGTGGCGAGTCAGTGTGCGAGTATTACGCCCATGGACCCCGTCATCATAACGCCGGATGACGTAGCTGAGGCGGTCCGTAGGGCCCCGAACTGGAAAAGTCCGGGGCTTGACGGACTGCATCACTACTGGCTGAAGGGGTTAACGGTGTGTCACTCTGTGCTCGCCCGACAGTTTCAAGAGGCTCTCAACCAGAAGTCGCTCCCAAGCCTCTTCACTACTGGGATCACTCATTTGGTTCCTAAAGATCAGGGTGCCACAGACCCGAGCAAATACCGCCCCATCACGTGTCTACCGACCATATACAAGACACTAACATCCATTTTGAGCGCAAGAATCGCTCGTCACCTGGACTTAAATCAGGTGATGTCGCGCGCTCAAAATGGATGTCGGGGCGGTGGTCGTGGAACTAAGGAACCACTCCTCATTGACGCGGTCATAGGCAAAGTGGTGAAACGCAACCTTCGGAACTTCTCCGCCGCCTGGATAGATTACAGAAAGGCATTTGACTCGGTGCCCCATACATGGCTAAAGAGGGTCCTCGAGCTGTACAAGATTGACTGTACTGTTCGAGACTTCCTCGAGCAGTGTATGGGGCAGTGGAGTACGATCCTCTGTCGTCTAGGCGAGCGGATGACGGCTGCGGAAAGCCGCATAAGGATAAGAAGGGGTATATTCCAGGGCGACTGTCTGAGTCCAATTTGGTTCTGCCTCTCTTTGAACCCTCTCAGTACTTTACTGGAGGGCTCCGGGAGGGGATTTCAGCTTCGGAAAGGAGGTACAAAAGTGACCCACCTTTTCTATATGGATGACCTCAAATTATTCGCCTCCAGTCGCTCCCATCTTATGGAATTGCTAAACATCACGTGTGAATTTAGCAATTCTATTAGAATGGAGCTGGGGACGGATAAGTGTGCGGTCCTCCATGTTGAAAGGGGAAGGGTTGCTAACTCTGAGGGCATAGACTTATCTATGCCCGTCAACTTAAGAACCCTTTCCGAGGCTGAAACATACCGATACCTGGGTATGTCACAGAACATCGGTATCGATGAGGCTGGTATGAAACAATCAGTTTGCGACGTGTTTTATGCACGCTCGACCAAAGTGCTTAACAGCCTTTTGTCCGGTGTGAATAAGGCACACGCATATAACGGTTGGGTCATGCCTGTCCTCATGTATACCTTTGGCATACTCAGGTGGACTCAGACTGAACTTAACGCCCTGGATAGAAAAGTCCGCACTACCATGACGTCCCATAGGATGCATCATCCGAGATCATCGGTAATGAGGCTGTACTTGCCGCGGAAGCATGGTGGTCGTGGCTTCTTGAGCGCGCTCACCATGCAAATCGCGAAGTGTGCAGCCTCCGTGATTACTTCCTTGCGAGATCGGATGATCCATTCTATAAGGACGTCATTTCTTGTGATAAAGGACTTACCCCTCTATCCTTAGCCAACGAGCAATGGCAAGACCCGGCAGTGCAGAGCATTTCCGACCGGGAGACCGTATGGAAGGAGAAGGAGCTCCACGGGAGGTTCTACAAGGCTCTACATGAGCCTTTCGTAGACACAGTAGCCTCCCTCCACTGGCTACGCTTTGGTGATCTCTTCGGGGGAAACCGAGGGTTTTGTCTGTGCAATACAGGATCAGGTTATTAAGACCAACAACTATCGGAGATACATCCTAAAGGATGGCACCGTCGACATCTGTCGAGCTTGTCGCCATCCCGGTGAGTCACTTAGGCATGTTATCTCCGGTTGTTCGGCGCTTTCTAACTCTGAGTACTTGCACAGGCACAACCTAGTAGCCAGAATTCTACACCAGGAGCTCGCTCTGAAATACGGTCTCGTGGATCGGAAATTGCCGTATTACAAGTACTTGCCGGAAGCCGTGCTCGAAAATGATCGCGCCAGGCTCTATTGGGACCGGGCCATCATCACAGACAGGACTATTCTTGCGAATAAGCCTGATATTGTGCTGATGGACCGGACACAGTCAAGGATATTTTTGGTCGACATTACCGTTCCGTATGACGAGAACCTCGTGAAAGCCGAAACAGACAAGCAAACAAAATATCTGGACCTGGCTCACGAGGTGACCGACATGTGGGGTGGTCTGCCGACCGAAATTATTCCTGTAGTCGTCTCTGCAAACGGGCTAATCCCAGTCAGCCTCTCGGGTCATCTGAGGCGGCTGGGACTACGTGGCGGACCGCTCCAGGTTCAAATGCAGAAGGCGGTGCTCCTCGATACCGCCCGCATCGTCCGCCGGTTTCTTTCCCTTTCCCCCTAACCCTCGGCCGTTTGGTCTCCCCTGCCGAGGGCCTCCATCTGGTTGAGCTTTTACTTATTTATGTACTTTTATATTTATTTTATGTTATTGATATTTATGTACATATATTTATCTTTTCATTTTCATTTATAATTATATATTTATAGAACCCAACCAGATGAGAAAACTATATAGATACCCCATAAAAAATAATAATAATAATAATAATGTATTTATTTTATTTTATTGATATTTATGTATATTTATCCTTTCATTTTCGTTTATAATTATATATTTATACATCCCAACCAGATGAGAAAACTATATAGATACCCCACACATAATAATAATAATTTTATATTTATTTTATGTTATTGATATTTATGTATATTTATCTTTTCATTCTCATTTATAATTATATATTTATAGAACCCAACCAGATGAGAAAACTATATAGATACCCCATAATAATAATAATAACACTACTTAATACTATATAATATAATAATAATAACACTAATTACTTAATAACACTACAATAATAATAATAATAACAAGACTCTACATGAGCCCTTCGTAGATACAGTTGCCTCCCTCAACTGGCTACGTTTCGGTGATCTCTTCGGGGGAAACCGAGGGTTTTGTCTGTGCAATACAGGATCAGGTTATTAAGACCAACAACTATCGGAGATACATCCTAAAGGATGGCACCGTCGACGTCTGTCGAGATTGTCGCCGTCCCGGGGAGTCACTTAGGCATGTCTTCTCCGGTTGTTCGGCGCTTTCTAACTCTGAGTACTTGCACAGGCACAACCTAGTAGCCAGAATTCTACACCAGGAGCTCGCTCTGAAATACGGTCTCGTGGACCGGAAATTGCCGTATTACAAGTACTTGCCGGAAGCCGTGCTCGAAAATGACCGCGCCAGGCTCTACTGGGACCGGGCCATCATCACAGACAGGACTATTCTTGCGAATAAGCCTGATATTGTGCTGATGGACCGGGCACAGTCAAGGATATTTTTGGTCGATATTACCATCCCGTATGACGAGAACCTCGTGAGAGCCGAAACAGATAAGCAATCAAAATATCTGGACCTAGCTCACGAGGTGACCGATATGTGGGGTGGTCTGCCGGTCGAAATTATTCCTGTAGTCGTCTCTGCGAATGGGCTAATCCCAATTAGCCTCTCTGGTCATCTGAGGCGGCTGGGACTACGTGGCGGACCGCTCCAGGTTCAAATGCAGAAGGCGGTGCTCCTCGATACCGCCCGCATCGTCCGCCGGTTTCTTTCCCTTTCCCCCTAACCCTCGGCCATTTGGTCTCCCCTGCCGAGGGCCTCCATCTGGTTGGGCTTTTATTTATTTATGTACTTTTATATTTATTTTATGTTATTGATATTTATGTATATTTATTTTTTCATTTTCATTTATAATTATATATTTATAGAACCCAACCAGATGAGAAAACTATATAGATACCCCATAATAATAATAATAATAATTATATTTTATTTATTTATGTATTTTTATATTTATTTTATGTTATTGATGTTTATGTATATTTATCTTTTCATTTTCATTTATAATTATATATTTATAGAACCCAACCAGATGAGAAAACTATATAGATACCCCACAATAATAATAATAATTTAATAATAATAATCTTTATTGATGAACATATTACATGCACAAAACTTACAGTGGTCATTAGCCCTGTAATATCTTCAGCCAAAACCTATACGCTATACTCTGTAATAAATGACTTAGTTAAAAACTAAAATGATATTAAGTTTTCCCACAATGTGTTGAAGCGTTAAATTGCGAAGTTTTTGGGTGTTATGACGGCAGCTAAGCAGACAAAAATAACTTGATATTTATATCACCATTGAGCACCTGTTCCATCGTTAAAAACACGAACTCGCACCATTTTATGTAACGAAATCCACATAAACAATAATATTTAAACAGTTAGTACAAGAGCTGGAACCCGCTGACGGTTCTCGGACTGAACCGTCAGCGGGTTCGGACTGAAGTTACCGCCAAAACTCCTCAACTAGTCATAAGTGATACATAGATACGTGTGTACTTCTCGAAATGTTAACCTTGCCTGCGGAAATGAATGAGTGAGGCCCAATTATGGGCGATACATTAATTTGAATGTTTTAATTTGAAAATGCCGAACAACCAAAATACATATAGGTGTAAGGGTATCAGCGTTACCAACTCTATACAACTTGTAACAAAAACCCTGAGGTTCCCTTTAACTGCGTGATCAGAATCAGTATCCAAGCATATAGATATTAGAATAGAGAAAAAAAAAATAATTTGCAAATTGTATGTGGTTTTATTATCTCTGCATTGGCCTAGGAGTAAGATGATTATCAAAGACTCCCAATGATAATATAAGAAAAAAGGTTTTACTTATAATATCATTGAAGACCCCGCATTACCGATACTCGTGTGAGTTAGAGGAAATAAAACCACATACAATTTGCAAATTAATTTTTTTTTTAATTAAAATAATTTTTTTAAATGTGTTTTTTTAAATAAAATAATTTCTATACGCTTGGATACTGATTCTGATAACACACTTAACGGGAACCACAGGGTTTTTGTCACATATGTATAGCGTCATAAGTATTCAAAAAATCCGGTAATAATATACCTTTTTTTTATTCTTGAAATAAAGATAGCATTGATTAGATATTATTGATATAAAAAAGGAAGCCAATACTAATTTTTATTTAACGTATAATATCCAACGTATTTGCCAACAGGTGGGCCTCGCCGATGCTGTGGCGTTGGATGCGTCTGCATAGCATAAAAAAGTATGAAATCGGTAATTTTCCATAGTTTATTTTTATTTTTATAAATTTTTGTGTTTTTATATAAATTTAATTAATAAATTATATAAATATTTTTATCTAAAATATTTATATAATTTATTAATATAAATATTTTAGATAAAAACATTAAATTTTTATCTAAGATATTATAAATTGAGTCACGAAGTTAAGAGATCAATTTAATTACCTACTGAACTGAACCTTGTAGAGCCATGCTGCAATTATATTGGTAGTACAGTTGTAGCATGAATGGGTGGGCTCGACCGGGGAAGAACTACGCTCTCATAGAATACCAGCGTAAAATTGCTGCTATGTTTCATATGGTGAGTGTAGAGAACCGGAGACTCTTTTTACTGGAAATGAGGCATTCCATCTTAGTCCTCACGTATATAGTCTTTGGTGACAACGTATCTGCATTTTGATTAGTAATCGAGGATAGATGTAGATGTCTATGGGTCACAGCAACCACTTACCATCACGTGGACTGTGTGCTCGTTTGACAGCCTATCCTACAAAAGAAAACGTAATTTGAGGCCGATTTAGTTGTTACTTTACTCGCAAGTTGTTGGTTTGTGTCCCGCTGGGAGCAAACACAGGACACCGACATTAATATTTGTGGTTGTATCAATGAACATAAATGTCTGTAGTCCAGTGATGATAGCTTGTAGTCCAGTGATGATAGCTTGTAGTTATCAGTTATCTATTTATAACACAAATTATTTATTCATGCATGATGACCTCCACATTGAATTTCAGTCACGGCGGGCAGTCTTAACTTTTAACGGAGACTAATCTACGATGTACTCTCTATTCTCTTACTCTCAAGTCGGATACAACGGCTGAAACAACAGCTTTACGTGCTTTCCGAGGAACTGGGTGAAAAATTGCCAACTTCCTAAATCCAAGCTGCTACTGTGAATTACAAAATAATTACCGAATTTTTCGCTCGAAGCGGGATTTGTACCCGGTACCATAGTCGCGCTTACAACCACTAGGCCAGTCATTGTGCTATATATATAATTGACTACTAACCATATTACATGCAACAAGCACTACTTTACTTTTACAAACCCTCCGAAACTCTCCCAAGTTTTATTAAGAGGTAAGTAAGACTACATAGAACCTTTCACAGATAAATAAAGTTCCGAAAAAATTGCTTTATATCACTTTCATTTCACCAAATTCGGTATAGTTATAATATTTTCTACTCATGATACTTGCACTCTACTAATTTATATAAAAAAAGTTAGAGTCTACATACTGCTGGGCACAGGCCTCCTCTCATTTCTGAAAGGGTTTTTTTATTGCAAGGAAGTGTCCGCTGCGCTGGCCCAATGCCTGTTGGCGAACTTCACATGTCTTCGAAATATTTTTTTCTTATTCCTCAGACATGCAGGTTTCCTCACGATGTTTTCCTTCACCGCAGAGCACGTGGTAAGTCAGCCGTCAGCACTTAAAATTGCAATTAACAATTTTACTGGTGCCGGCGGAGATCGAACGCGATTTGCTCGCGTATTGTGAAGTTACATACAGCGAGCGCTACCCATCTGAGCTGCCTCGTCTACTATATGCTAATTTATATCTTAGATGCTTATTATGAATGTTTATAAAACTGTAATAGGAGAGCCAGGATGGCACGCAGTGGAGTAACTCTACGGGTTGATAAAAATAGGGACTAGCTCACTATTAATCCCAAGCTTCTCGTAGGTTGCCACAAAGCACGGTTCTCACACATGTTACGACCACTAATAAACGTATAACCGCGAACAACGCGGCCGAAACAGCGAAGGGTTTTTTTTTTTTATTATAAATAAAAATAAAAAAATTAAAAAAAAAAATAAACATAAAAAAAGACATAAAGAAGAAAAGAGAAAAACATATTTAAGTTTTTTTTCCTCTTTATAAAACCGTCCCCCAAGGCGATCCTTGCACATTCGTAGGGGATCTGTGGTTATAGAGTATACGGACACGGTTAGACACATGGCACAATAATTATGCTCATTAATAACACGATATTTTTCAAAAAAGTGGCAACCCTACTCAAATAGCTCTACCTTACCAAAGAATATATAATACACTACGCGAAAAGAAACGACACTTAAGCATGTGTGCACGTAAAGTCGCTTGCGGCTATGTGTGGGTGTCCGGATGTGTGCGGGGGCCTTGAAAGACGCGCGGGGCGTGGAACGGGCAGTCGCCGACTGCCCTGGCCGAGGGCTAGTAGTAATACCGATATTTGTCAGTATTAGTTAATATGAATATATTCGTCAAGTGACGAATATATTCATATTAACTAATTCAAATAACTATTTCAATTAATATATGAATATTACTGATATCTTAATGTACATATTACTATTCTATTCATGTAGGTATTAAGTTTATGTTACCAAGTAACGTTATAAGTTTTTATAGCCGTATATGCTAGGTTTATATGCTTTGATAAATATTAATGTTGTTATTAAATAAATGATATTATAGTATATGTATAAGTATTACTGAAAGTGATTTTAAGTGATTTGAATTAAAATAAATACCACTGCACAAAACAAGGGCCCTTGTTTTGTTAGTTTAATTTTTAATAATGTTTTATGATACCTAAAATATGTGAACTCATTTTAATGAAAATCGATATGATCTTAACAAGAATTATGGGGAAATACCATGACAATAAAACTAATATGTCGCCAATAATTTTATTATATTACATTAACTGAAATATACACTATTATAATGCCCCTAGAGAGTAAAGAAATTTTAGATATCTATAAAGAGTTTTTGTATTTGTTCATTATTGTATTTATGGATTATTTCATTAGAAATAGAAATGACTTATCTCCTCAACACATAGGGAATAATTTGTTGGCCGCCATGTCCCAGGAAACCTGCATACCTTTGGATTTTCTAAAAAAAAATACACACGCTACGAATTTTTGCAATTGTTAGAAATAATAATGAAAATTAAAAAATTAATCGAAAAATTCAAAAATATATAAGAGTAAATTATTTTTAAAGGATAGTAATACTGATTACTGCGTACTGAAATACTAAGTGTTGGTTAATTATTTAAGATTACCATTAACTGTCGTGCATATTTGGTTTTGTCGGAAAACAAAAGTTGATTTAAAATTGAACGTATCTTTCACTACCCAAATACATAAGTTTACATAATATATAACACATACCTACTATGTATCTTCTTTGGTACAAGTCTATAATATTCCATTTCGGTTCGATATCAACCCTAGCGTTACACGCTTCGACTCAAGGTCACCGGCGCTTAAGCTCTCACGTACAGGGAGTGTCACCGCTGTGACCGTACAGCGCTAATAATGCTCATTAATAATACGATAATTTTTCAAAGAAGTGACAACCCTACTTAAATGAGGGTATGACTTGTAAACAAAACGTCGAAGTAATAAAGGACATTCCGCTGTAGTAAGACGGTTGGCTATAAATGTAAAACTCTTCTATGATTCGTAATAAATTCGCAGTAGGAAGGCAATTTTTTTATAAGCAAAAACTGTCAGCGCGTCGTATTTCCGTAGTAGGTATGTATGTAATGTAAAAAAAAACATTTCTACCGTCAAGCAGTATTGCGTCACCACTGTATCCTGGTCTGTGGTGTAAAAAGAAAGTCATTATAAAAACAGGTTGTGAGGCATTTGGATCCTATTAACCAAAGGTGGCGATTCATACGTAGGCTTTTTATAGCATTGGGTGACAAACAAACACACAGTTCACCTGTGGCCCACAGACATCTACATTTATCTTCAACTAAGGATCAAAATGCAAATGCTTTCTCACTAGTAGGACTGAGATGCAATGCCTCGTTTCCAGTAAAAAGGGTCTCCGGATCTCTGCACTCACCATACGAAACACAGCAGCATTACGCTACTATTTTAAAACTATTTTACGCTGGTGTTCTGTGAGAGCGTAGTCCTGCCCCGGGCGAGCCGGCCAATTCGTGCTACAACTATAACTGCAGCTAGGGTTGCCAGGTCTTAAAACCGAAAAGCCAGACAGACCAGCGACCTTAGCGATCATTTTGGTTGGTATGCCGGACACACTTATTTTTTGTCTTAGTAAGATTTTTTTTTAAAGTAAAACAATGCTTTTTATCATTTACCGTAAAATCCTCTTAAGTTCTAACGAAATAACAATTGAATAATTCAGTCTTCTTTATTATTAATTATGCAATATTCATTACAATATTAATTTAAATATTTTTTTTTTAATTTATTTATCAGATCAAACAAAAATTACATTCCGATATAGGCTTAATTAACATCTAACAAACACAGCGGTTTACCTTGATGCTAAATAATTAAATTTAAGTAAGCGAATTATGTACAAAACACAGTCTTATTCAATAGTTAGGTATATGAGTAGGTAGAAGGTATAACAAGTGGTTGGGCGACGGGCCTTAGGGTTCCCGAGTTCGATTCCCCGTTCGAGCCTTGACCCTATTACGCGAGATGTTATACTAGATGGACTGTATACGCGGGAAGCTTCTTCTGCCTCAACAAGATGGCGGATGTGGCACGCGGTTCCTTGACAATGCACTCGCTCTTCCGATATCTATTGTTTGCCAAGGTTATGAAGGAATCCTGCTTGAGCACATTAGGAGGAATGAAATGGAGCGGGTTAGCTAACAAACAAATGCTCAAGCAGGCATTGAATTATAGGGAAAACACACTTACCGGCGTGTGACTTCGATGCGGATTAGGCGCTTCCGTTGCTGTGGTGCGACTTCTGGTGGGTTCTTCTGGGGCGCCCCAGAGATGCGGTCCTGGCCAGTGGTGTGAAGGAAGAGAGCGGTACGCGACGATATCTCACACTACGTGAGGCGGTTACTTCTGGAGCTCGACTCCTCCAGGTGCGGTTCAGACTAGCGGCACGAAGGCAAGAGCGGGCTCGAGGGCAGCGCGCGAGCTTATATTGCTTCGGCTTTCCTATCAATGCATCTCGGT